CTCTCTGTCCGATGGGCTTTCTCGGCCGGAGGGGGCAGCGTCATCGGCTTCGAGGGCACTCTCAGCCGGAGGGGGCAGTGCCACCGGCTCCGCGGGCACTCTCGGCAGAAGGGGGCAGCGTCACCGACTCCGCGGGTGCTCTCGGCCGATTACCGCCCCGAATGATCCATCTTCGAGCCAATCAGCGGGCCGGGACGGCTCGGTGTGGATCTGAGCGGCGCGCGGTGCCAAACGAGTCGCCGGCAAAACATCCACGCCGCCACCCCTGAGCCCGGTCTTTCCAGACTTCGGCCGACCGACGCGCTCTGGGCCCATAGGGGGTTCGCCACTTTAGACCAATAAACGGATGATGTTTTCCAAATTCGGTAATGGTGAGGACTCATGCTGTGCAATTAGAGGGGCTGAGGCTGTCGAGAGTGATTTTGAAAATATTGTTTGCGTATTGTGTTAGCAAGATACTTATCCGACACATGACGTCGCAATCCCAGACAATTAAAATTTTTGCTGCATTTTGACTATATGTGATGGTGAATAGTGGTGAATGGATCGATTAGTGTGTAAGGAAGCAATTTTTGCAACTGTTCAAAGCCCAGTTGATCTTCAGGGATCCTTGTTCTTCATCAGGCAATAGAAATTAACTGCAAGCAGTGCGGAATGTAACTCATGCGTCTCATTTCCTGCAGCAATGAAACATTATTGTTTTCTCGACGTTCGACAAGGTAAAACAGACAATTACTCATATCTCGTGAAATGCCTTCTCAATCATGCCGCACTCGAATACATAACTGGAGGAGTTTGTGTTTCCGGAGCATGAATACATTTTTCATCTGTATTTGACGTAAGCTCAGTTTGTTCAATTCAGTTCAATTCAGTTCAGTCGCTCAGATATGCGCAGTCTGGGCATTTATCTGTTGCCGGTCGTTTTAAGACCGGTCTCGCACACCCATATTTAAGCACCACCTCCATGCCATCCTTCTCACAACTGACAGATATACCCCTCCTTTGAAAGCCAACCACTCTCCACGAGAAAGCCGTAATGCTACCTCCCCCAGGTTCGCTTCACAGACCGGTTGCAATGATGAAGTGCGGCAACTTCATGGGCTTGGTAACGCCTGCCTGCCACTCATCTTCGGTCGCTTCGCAGAGTAATGCGGCCCGTGATCCTCCCACCAAACAGATCGTCTCACATAGCTGTACTAGTGACGATAATGTGACCTCGTTTTGTACTTCGTGCCTCTTATAGCCCACTTCTCAGCTTGGTTATCTTTTGAATGGTGGAGCTCTCTCCTGGTTGCTGGGAGTGGCATGATTCGAAGGATCACTCGCTGTCACGGAGTCACCGGTTATACCACCGATCACATGGAATATAGTGACGTTATTTACTGCTGGAGCTTGATGGCCAAACAATGGCAAACGCTCGTCAGTTCTAAACATCACACAGGATCATCACAGCGACCAAGTGCGGGACGTAAACGAAGGGTCTGGATTTCTAGACTCTTACCCACATTTCACGGGCTCTATATTCCTCTCCTCCAGTTATGTGTTCGTGTGTGACATAACAAGGGAGGCATTTCACAGGAGAAAACGTAATTGTCCGTTTCACCACGTCGAGCGTTTCTCCCTGCGAGCGCCTGTGCACCGGCCAGCGAAGGCCGCCCAGAGCCGGGCCTGCCGTCGGTGTCTGGCTCCTCGGTGACGTCAGTGCTGGCACCGTGCTGCTGGCGCAGCGCCGGACAGATCAGGCACCGGCACTGCGAGCAGTAACCAAGGCAGATCCGACCAAGTGCTGCTCACCTCTCGGTGTATCGGCACCCTAGCGTGCGATACCACCCACACTGGCCCGTCTCTGGCAACCCGCGTCCTGGGCGCAGTGGGGTCAGTCAGCACAACACCGATAAGCAAATTACCGCCGGCGCGCGCGGACGGCCGCGAACGCAGCGCCCATGTCGGACCAGTGGCGTGCGGTTTGTTGGCTGGGTCAGTGCTGTTTTTGGGTCAGAGTGAAAAACACCTGGCTGGAGGCGTCGGGACATGCCATGGCGTACCGTGCCGCCACTGAGCGCCAACTGTCAACCAACGCGCGCCCGCCGAGTTGGCTTTCGCCTGCAGTTCTTCGAGCACAGGTCAAAAACCAATGTTTGCAGCAGTGCAACATTTTTATCACCTGTTCGTCTATCAATTTGCCATCCTTTGTGAAAATTTGAGGCTTTTGTCTACTAGTACCAGTGGCCTAGGTGAGGCCAAAGAGGTCAACCTCTAAAACACTTTGACCACACATAACTTTTTGCAGATAATCTGCAATTGCTCCAACTTGCCATGGCAATAGAACATGGTAATACCTACAGTCTGTTTATTTCAGATTATTTCTGAAAATGCAATGTCAGTGACCTGAAGTGAGGTCAATTTGCTATTTTCGTACATGATGCAAATTTGTACGCATTTTGCGTAATTTTGGTTTTTATATGAGATAAAGCGTACTAGCTCACTTACACAACTATCATATTAGTACAGAGCAAACGGCGTTGGGCCAGGTTATGACCCACCTCTATGGGTGCGTTCTGCAAAACACATGCTGAACTCAAAATAGACAGTTTTAATAGGTAAGTGTGAGTGCAGAATTCGAATACTTCACTGAAAATATGTCGGGATATCATTCTAATACATAATGAGCTTGCAACAGGTCACGTGATGACATGCAAGGTCATGTGATGTCACCTAAGGCCAATGACCTTTGTTACCATTTGTGGAGAGGCTAGATGAGAGAATGTGACGCGTATGACCACCTTCTCATTGTATTTGTAAAGCTAAGGACGCATAATTTCATATTACAACGTGCCCGTTCTTCGTTTGCTACAAATACATTACCAAACGTCGAAGGGACTATGCATAATGTAGACAACAGCTATGCAATCTTGAGTGCCTGTAGATGTACAGCACACTTCTCCTGACTACAGAAGGACACTGCACTGGCCACATAGACCCGGTTAGCACTTAATTTTTTCATTTGGATGGCTTGAAAATTGATGTAAGTTGACCTTAGATGACTTCTAGGTAAGCCAAAAGTAATATTTTTGTGTCTGGAGTACTTTTTTCCTACAGCTGCACCTAAATAATAAACTTAGCAAGAAGCACATTGTGAGAAAGCGTCTTTGTTTTAGGCTACTGTTAGGTCAAATTTTAACGGTGACCTGATCTGACCTTACCCTACTGGGCGAACAGAGATTGTTGGAATTATTCCGCACAGTCTTAACGCTTATTTTCGTGCCCTCAATTTCCGCCGTGACGTGGTAACATAGGTTCCAATGGCATCCATCGGAACGGCGATCTTTTTTACCTTTCGTGACCTCTGGTGACCCCCACATTTGACCTATAGGCAATCATTTTGCGGGCACTTTTCATGATTTGACAAGACGTTTAAGCGGTATTTTTGTTTTTCTCATATCGTGTCTGGATGTTGGAGATCCCGGGGAAGCCAAGGTCCCCTTCCCGGCCGGGCGCGGGTGTCTCAAACCCGGGCCAGGGGCAGGCTAACAAGGCTTTGTGGAGAAAAAGCCATGTGAGGCTTATTGTGATCAGGGGCTCATGGTTCAACCGCAGCAAACATGTCTTCCGTACCATGTTGTGCAGTAATCACGAGGACAGCTACTCGTAAGTTCAGCCGAGATCCTGGTACTGAGAAGTGAGAGGGAGCGGCGTTACATCAAGGACAAAAACAAGCACGGGAGCTCCGCTCCAATGCTGCTACACCACTGGGTCTATTGACGGGAGGCTCCCTCCTTTCCTGAAGCATGATCAGGGCGAGTCGCGGACATTCCTTGTCAGGCTCATGGAGGTATTAAGGCTTTCCTCTCCCACCATCCGGTCCGCCGACCGGGCGCTGGAAAAGGTAGCAGCCCGGCGGCCTCTCGGACCGCGCGCTGCTTTTGGCGGCGTGCTGGATATTTCAGGCGGCGGACGGATGTCATGGGACTGAGTTGAGGAGGCTGAGACTGAGGCTGAGGCGTGGATCCAGGGCGGTTGCCTGACAGTCACCATTCTCGGAAATTTATGGCCATATACACAAGCACTCAATAGCAGATTCATGCCAGTAAATTCAATGCGCAGGTGCGATAGGGTCGTAAAGTATGCAAACACGCTCCCAACATTACCTTTTTCAAAATTTGTTAAATGCTACTGTATGTGTCAAGGGATATCGGCCCTTGTAATTCTTAACATGTTTGACACTGGGACCAAAAAGTTTTGAAGGTTAGCATGGACCGAACAATTCGACAGGACGCTTTTAAAGTCAGTCGCGGTACATCTAGGTATCTTTTTAAGGGCAGAAACTCGCTTAACTACATCAAATGAAATTTCTCCGAGACTCGCAGCACTCCCCAAGAATCTGAACGTTGCTAACATCGACAGCTAGATCCAAAATGTTGCAAGGCGCTGGAAATGACGTTTCCGTTGCACTGTAAGGCATGCAGCTCTGGCATGCCCGGATTGCAAACAATGATTTTACGACACGTTTTGCAGCCACAGGCCATCATCGCGGGCGCATTGTCCAGATCTGTCGGCCATCCCGAGCTGAGGCCAGAATTTGCACTCTCCGCTCTCTGCTAACCGCCATCGATCTCGGGACACGCAATGACCATATTCCATGGCATAGTTCGATGGTCTCCGTTCAGCCCTCGAGCTGTGTTCGTTCAACAGTTAGTGCTGCAAAGAGCTTTAGTGATCAATGATTAACAGCATGGGAGGGATAGCAGCCAAATGCTGTCCGAAGTTTTCGTTTAGCATCAATCGCGACTTCGCAAATGCATAGGCGTTATCTTCATTATTGTCTATCGCTCTCAGCAATCTTAGTCCGCTGTCGCTTTCCCCATTGTCGCCTGTCAGGTGGCTCTGCAACACGTGTGCGACCACTGGGTGGTCCGCGTCGCGCGAAACCTGACCTGGGCGGCGACGCGGCGCACGCCAGCGCGGGCGGCTGACCCGCGCAGGATGGGCCGGTGACTGACCTGCGCAGAACGGACGCGCAGGTCGGAGCTGTCGTCGTCCGGTGACGTGGCGCCCAGGTCACACACGTCCGGCAGAGACCGGAAGCCCTCCGTTTCCGGTAGCTCTTCGTAGCTCATGTCCCGGAGCAGCGCTGGAAGTGGACGGGTGACGTCACTGAGCCGGTGCGAGGGTTCGGGTCGGACGGACGGACTGTGCACTCCTGTTCAGACTTAGCAGGCCCCGCTCGCCGTCGGCCAATGCCCCCCCCCCCTTCCCAGGACGGGTGAAGGTCCCCCTCACTAGCCCTTAACCGGTGCCGTCCCAGCATCGGGCAGCAAAACTGGGGCACCGAGCAGGGATAGAAGCTTCACCCCGCCCCGAACGGGCCGCCCGGACCGCCGCGGGTCGCGCTGGCGTGGGCGTGGGCGGGGGCGTGGGTGAGGGTCCTCGACCCACTGATCCGACGGGTGCCGCCGGGGGCCCTCCGCCGGCGGCTGCCCGCTGACGGACTGCATTACTTGTATAATCAGCGTGCTAACTGTGCTTTGTTTCGGGTTGAGTTACGGCCGGTTAACAGTGCAACTTCCGGCAGATGAATATTCATAGACCTTCGGCCGCCACAGCGCTAAGGCATAGCGTGCACACTGGGGTACTAGGTACGTCAGATAACCAGACACTTTTTCACGTTCAAATGCACATGCTTTTTATCCGTGTGCTGAACAGGAAAGCCAGGAGTTTATAGTCAATGTCATTTGCTATCTGTGGGTACCTTTCAACGTGGTCGCACATGCAGTGTGAGAACAAGTGCGCACACTTAGTGAAGATAATAAATACCATGAATATATCGGAAATGATATCCACAAAATATCACCATGAACATGCCAACCTGCATATGCATGTCTCGAAGAGGAAACTGCTTCGAAAACAGATGCCGTAATCAGCTACTGATCCTGGTACCAGTTACTGATGCCGTGACACACATATCTGATAAGGTGTGTTAATATGTATTCATTGTAAAGCAATAAATGATCTTAAGCATGTCAATGACCATGTTTGTAAAAGAAACACGAGAAAGCCGAAAACGGACAGTATTTGTTTAATGCTGTTTGAACAGTTTTGTCCATTTTTTGGCTAATTCAGCTTTGAGTAAAAAAAAATCACTGGTACGTTAGAAAGCTTTCTTTACTTTCCACACATATCAGCAATAGCATGTATTTATTACTTTCAAAACAAACTTTGGAATCACCTCTGTGCCACATTCCTTAATATGCAGTTACAGTACCTATCGACATATGGCCTTTAAGAAACGGTGTAGTATTGCCAAGAGACCGTCTATAATTAGGCTGCGTTTGAAGGGAGGGAGGGGAAGGGTGAGGGTAATGGAGGGCTACAGAAGAGTAACAAGCGATGGCGGGGAGGCTTTGGGCAACGTAATATTACGCTCACGTGAGGCTGCAAATCATGTCCATATCTTTAACAACGAGTTAAAACTTAAACGCCGAATAATGCTGTCTTCCTCCGAGTACAAGGAACGCGCCCCTTAGCTATTTCACATCTCTAGTTCAACTTATTTCAGGGGAAAAAGGACATTACTTTTTTGAGACGTTAGGCTTAAGACAGTGAAAACAGGGGGGGGGGGGGCGCAAGGCGTAACCAGCATACAACCAGGGAAAAGAGGGTTGAAAAATGGACGAAGACGCTAAACGTATTTATAGACGCCCCCCCGCATATAGGTTTTGCGCCCATAAACTTTAACTCATTAACACAGCTGGCTGAGCTGCGGTAATATATGAGTCCGCCTCATAGTCCACAACAGTAGCAAATTGCTAACTGTTGTCTCCTCGGCTCAGTTCATAAAGTATCGCATAAAGTACTAGGCTGACAAACCATATTCGCGTCCAGAAACAGAATCAATTGCTTGACTAGTCAAAGATGGTCAACTGGTAGCCGACCTCGAGGGGTTACGCTGTTCGTAGTGGGTGTGTCCCGGTGTGGCGTGACACGAACGAGATTATTTCGTACCACATAGCAACACACGGAGGGAAATTAATGAGATAACAAGGCCATCGGATTCGTGACAAGCTATGCGTGGCAAGGTTTCTGACCTCAACCTCAAAACCACCCATGTAAAAACATTTCATCAACTTTTGAACAGGCATCAAACCGGCATTACAACAAAACGGACACTGTTTATTAGCAAAACGGCAATTGAAAACCAAACTAATGGCACTAGCAATGACCGGAGCATACTTAATAGCTAGGCAGACATGAATATGCTTAAGCAAGAAAATGTCGGCCCCCACCCGCTTGATTCTGGGTGCGCCGGTGCCTGCTGCGCTCTGGCGCCGCCGGCGTCACGTGCGGCCGAGCGGGGTCGCTGGGCACGCTCGTGACTGCAGCGGACCGAGCGTCACACGTCCAGGCCACCGCTCCGTCCGCGCCCCCCGCCTGGACGTGGCCCTGCTGCACGCCGCGGGAGGAGCCGGACGGCGACGCCGCGCCGGACTGGGGACGGCGTTCGGACACCCGGCCACGACCCGAGCTCGACCCGAGCCGAGCTCGGCCAGACCTGAGCTCGGCCCGACCCGAACTCTTCCCGGCCCGAGCTCGTACCGACTCGAGCTCGACCCGAGCCGAGCCCGGCCAGACCTGAGCTCGGCCCGACCCGAACTCTTCCCGACCCGAGCTCGACCCGAGCCGAGCCCGGCCAGACCTGAACTCGGCCCGACCCGAACTCTTCCCGACCCGAGCTTGGTCCGACACGAGCTCGTGCCGACCCGAGCTCGACCCGAGCCGAGCCCGGCCAGACCTGAACTCCGCCCGACCCGAACTCTTCCCGACCCGAGCTTGGTCCGACCCGAGCTCGGCCCGAGCCGAGCCCGGCCAGACCTGAACTCCGCCCGACCCGAACTCGGCCCGATCCGAGCTCGTCCCGACCCGAGCTCAGCCCGAGCCGAACGGGGGACTCGACCCAAGAAGCCTGAGTAGCTCAGTGAGCGTGGGCAGTTACCAGTAAGTAGCGGATGTGTGCGTGTGTGTGTGACCTTCGGAGTGCGCCCGGCCTCAGTCGTTCCTGGACGCCTGCTGAAAATTTGTTCAGCGGCTTCGGAGCGGAATGTTATCATGATCATTGGTGGCAGGGGCTTCTCACGGGACCCAGAGTGCTCTGGCATGCGATCGGCGGTACAGCGCATTGTGGGATGCCATTTAAGTCTTTAACGATCCACAAAGAGACGTTGAGCGATATATGTCTTGTGCAATGTAAGGACGAGCAATACGGTCTGTATGGCATTCTAAAAATGCGCTGCATCAAACAAGCCGCAGAGGTGCACAACGTCTGCTGATGACAGCAAGGGAAGTAAGAGCACGCCACCGCCACACTGATATGCATGTTTTCCTCTTCACAGATTCGAAACGTTGGAGTTTTCGACTGAAAGCAAGAGCAGCATAAAACAGCTCCTGCTTAATCGCAGGGTCCTGGCATTATGGATATATTGATAGCCAAGCGCTTAGCGCGTACCGTATATGGTCCGGCATCAACTCGCTGTTTCGGAGCCATCGCCAGCTCTGTGACACGACTGGGGCAAGCGTTTCAGGTTTTTTTAGGCCATTAGAAGCGGCCTACTCAGAAAAACGATTACGTAACAGGCCGCGCATCGTTGACTACCAGCCGCACAGGGCTTGGCTCGGGGTACAGCAGGTGCGTACTGAGGCGGCCCCCGAGCGTGCCTCTGCCAGCACGCATTCGCGGCCGTCCGCCGTTGCGGCGCCCGCGCCCGCGCGCCCGGCGGCCGCGCGGCCGGCGCGCGGGCCCGGGTCAAAATCAGCTCTGCTCAGCAGGGGCGTGACCGAGCCGCTCGTCACGCGACACGGTCCGAGGAGTCGGCCAGGCCGCAGCCGGCAGCACCAGCCGCGCTCGCCGCCGCCGCGGCCCGCTCCCCCCCCCCCCCCCCCGCCCCCTCCGGTCAGCTGCCACCAGACGTCAGCACGGCCGGCGCCGGGCGCGAGCGTGCTTCGGCGAAGTCCGGGCGCAGAAGCAGGGGAGGAGGAAACGAGCAGGCGCCGAAGGTGGCGCACTATGCCTGGGGATGACGCAATGCAACCAAAACAATGCGGGAGAGAGCCAAAGCTGGTCACTGGAGCGAAACCTGGGCTCGACGTCGCTTCCAGGAACTCAGGGGCTGAGTTCAACTCGGCCGGCCAACATTCAAGATGCATGCATTATGGATTGAATGGTGCGCCGGGGCGATTCTATCGGTGGGGGGGGGGGGGGGGGGGGGGGAGGGGAGGGTAGAAATATCCCATTAGTCATTAGATTTGGCAGTATCTAAGTCCTGACTACGATGCACTCTGACAAATCTCCGGCGACGGGCAGAGCTTGCAAGTTCTTATTTTGAAAATGAAAAAGCATAAAAAAGCATACGATCTTTGCATGAGCATAACAAGAAATATTGAAGGCCAACAGCTTCTTAAAGCAAGTCACTAGGTTAAGAATGTGGACATGGAGTTGCGCCAAATCGTTTATTTCGTGCGAACGTTCACGAACCAAGTTAATGCGTTATAAAATTTGTCTGACCCGTATGTATTTTGTCTGTATTTTAGCTTTCAAGCAATTGATACGCAAAGCAATACCTCATTTCAGTTTTTGGCGACCAAACGGGCCAAAAATCTGAAACTGGCACTGAGCGTTCCATGGAAGCTTTCTTATTGCCAATATATGGAGAATTAATTTGTCCAAGGTCATCTAAGTTCAAAAAGACTGCTTCTTTTTTGCAAAAATCAACGTGGATTGGATATTGACCTATTCAACACAACTAGCACAAAAGCTGAGACAGAAAAGAGCTAACATGATTGCAAATATCGATCTGAATATGAATCGGTTGCCGACTTGACGAACGTATGTCGAATGGTCTCCTCTCGACAAAATTTTAGATCCGTTCCTGCGTCAGAAGCACGTCTGGGTCAGCCTCCGCCTATACTCGTTCCTCCCACGTGGTGTGTTGGGTGGCGATTTGAGGGGAAACATAGCTATCAAGAATAATAAGTTCAATGTAAACAAAACAGCGCGTTGATTATTCGTCGCGAACACTGTGACACTTTTAATGCGAACGTGCAAAGTAACAACTTCTATCAAACTAGGTGTTGCCTCAA